CAGGGCAGCTGAACTCCCTGTATACTATTACTTGGAGCAAAGAGAAAGCAGAGCAGGTAGAGGGTGGGTTCCATGTTCAGAGCACCTAGAGGGAGGAAGGAGCTATGTGGGGTCTCACTGTCCCTCCAGAGTAACTCAAAACCCCAAGGAGCAGCAGTCCTCTTTTGGGTATAGGAGAAAATCAGGGAAGAAGAGATTACCAAGTGACCTCAATGAGATCACATTGGGGTCACTTGGAAGCACAGTGCTTTCACCCTGTTTCTACTCGAACCCCATTCATTTTATAAAACAAAGCATTTTGGTACAAGAGCATGGACAAAATCAGACAATAAACATGTCATCTGTTGTTTTGTGATGACCTCAGAATCGACAGAACTAAGACAGGTCTCCCTCTGCCCCCCCCCCTCCAAAATTACCTGCTGGTATAGTCCCTCCACTTGTCTGGGTCTCCCACCAGCTGCGCATAGGTGCCATCGATGTTGGCTCTGAGCTCCTTTAGAGCCACGCGGCAGGCTTCTGGCGCGTTCCTTACTGGGTCCCGGACTGGGAGTTTCACACACAGTTCTTCCATGAGCTGTAACCTCTTTTCACAGAGATGATGAGGACTTTTGTCACCGAAGAAAACCTAATGAGCAAGAAAGAGTTTTAGTATTAATGTCCACTAGAACTCATAATAAACTTCCATATTTCCATAGAAAAACCAAAGGTAGTTCTCATTTCATCTACATGTGTCAAGTCATTAAGCCAGTTAGTGTTTTCACACCCAAACCAAAGCATCCATTCTCTGCTTTAAGTGACAACAGGACTCTGCATGACATACCCTGTGCTCCTTAATAATCTTTTCACTGCCTTCTTGGGACATCAGCTTGGTCTCTCGATCCAGCTCAGCTCTGCATTCCTCGATGGAGGCTAAGAATTTCTTCTTCTCTACATCGATCTTCAGATGAAGCAAATGGTACGGGGCTTCACCTTGAAGATCCTACATTCAGTTGGAAGTGGCAGAAAACATAAAATATTCCCCTTAGTGACGTGAAAATAAACCTCCACAGTGTCCCCAACTCTGCCTTTTCTAGGGGTTCACACAGAATTCTCTCTGTGGGTCAGGTGTTTGCGCAGTAACTAGCCTGTGGAATTCTTATGCTAAACATGCAGTATTCATGTTCCTATTTTAGAGATTAGACCACTGAGACTCCAGAGTAAATAGATGTAGTTTTGAATCATATACTCACGCCCTCTCCTCAGCATGTCTCTTAATTTTGTCAACAACTCTATGAGATGGGAAAAACAGATGTGATTACACCCACAACACTAAGAGGGAGTCCAGGAAACCTTATTTTAAAATGCTGGGGTTAAAAAGCCAGGATTGGGTCTCCCTGGTGGCGCAGCGGGGTAAAGCACAGCACTGAGAAGCTAAAGCCACTTTCACATGACATTGATCCCTGTCCCAGAGGTGACCACATGGCACGGCAGACCTCTCCTGACCCGCACGCTGCTCCCCTCAGTAGTGTACTTCATCTATCTGCCTGTTCTGCTCCCCGCTCTATCTGGTGAATCCTCTCACCACCCACACCTCTAGCCTGTATCCCAGTTCTGTATGTATAAATAATCTTTAAAAAAAAATCCAGGATTAAACTGAAGTAATTTGAAAGCATCGATGCTACCAACAATAGGAATAATGAGGTTCTATCAGTTTAGTCATGTTTTCCTCAGATTCATGAGTTTTTAATGAGAGAAGCACTTAGGGTGTTTTTCTGGCAATTTCTGTATTTCTCTAACAACTGAACAAGGTCACCCTCATGCTCGGCCATCACTCATGACACACGAGGTCCCAGGGTGTACTGACTTACCTTCCACTGTTTGTGCAGCTTTCTAACTGCTTCCTGGAGGCCCTGCTGTTCCTGCTCAGGAAGAATGTCTGTGAGTTCATCACAAGCCTTCAGGAAAGCATTGAGCACCCTCTGATCCAGCTGACTGAAAAACTCCTGGTGGAGAGGGGGACGTGGGTAAGGATGGAGAGCACAACAAAAGCCCACAACAGACACTGCCTGGGGAAGCCATCACACCTCTTGACAACCTCTTAGCCAGCCCCTGCTCTTTTCACCCCCTTGAGCAGCAACTAATCTTCTTTCTAGACACAAAGTATAATCACCTGTAGTGAAAAGTCAGAAGTCACAGGATCTGAAAGGTAACTAGTAAATTTTACCATTTAGAAGTGAATCTGCAATTTTCAAATTGGGTAGATTGCTCTAGAAGGCCAATGGGAGACTCTAAAATCTTGATTCCATAGTGACAGAGCTATGTGTATTTCTTCTTGGGTAAAGTCAGAAGGCCAGAGTAGAATCCCATGCTAAGTCTTAGAATTCCTCATTCTTGAACGTCAAAGCTTCTGCTACTTCCTTCTGAGTCATTTCCACATTCACAGAAGCATCCTCAAGAGCACATATGCTTTGGTCTAAGTAGTAAATGCCACACTTGTTTGTGGAAGCCCTGACTCCCAGTGTGGTGATATTTTGAGATGGGACCTCTAGGAGGTGATTAGCTTGAGAAGAGTCAGGGGGTGGCAGAGTTAATGCTCTTCTGAGAAGAGGCAGCAAGAGCTTGTATGCTGGATGCTTCTCTCTTCCTGTTAGTGGAGAACACAGTGGAAAGGTGGGACAAGACCCTCACCAGAACACAACCAGCCTGGCACCCTCAACTCAGGGTACGGTCTCCAGACGGAGGAGAGAAATCTCTGTAGGTAAGTCACCCACTCTGTGTGTATTAGTGTGGCAACTCGCAAGGAGGGACACTACACATGTACACACACATGTGCTCACACACACACAGAGGTCTCACAACAGTGACTGGAAATAGCATGCACAGAAGGTTACAAACTGAATGAAGTATGAATGAACACGAGCCTTAAATTCACCAGCTTTATACAAATAATGTTGCATTCATCATCTGAGAGTGTCATTCATACAAACACCCATTAAATTTTCAGGGAAAGGAACTTAAATACATGTTCTCAGATGTATTTTGATGATGATGGCTCATCATCCCCATGCATCATTTATACAGATGATGTTTTTGATATTGATAAGGTTTAAACAATGATAGAGAGTAGAACAACTTTTGGATCAGCCATCACACTTGGTGAAACCTTATCTACACAAAGATGTGGCAGGCTCAGGAAGCGAGCGCAGAGGGATGAGCCATCTACACCATACAAACTCTTGAACAAGAGTGTCAACTATATAAAGATTTCTCTGCTAAGTGATAAATTAGTAATTTGGAGAACCTGAGTTATCCAATGACTCTCCGCTACTCTGCGCGCTTCAGAATGGCCAACGATAAGGTAGTTCATTAGTTGCACTTGAACGTCTGTTGCCACCATTGCGCCTTACAACTGACAACTTTCTGGCTTCCTACGTTCTCTCCTCCTCTCTCCCTGTGCTTTCTTGCTCCCCCTTCCCCTACTTTAGATCATTATTTTCTTTAGCTCTCATCCCAGACCCCTGTGTCCAGTCAAGTGGCCCACAGGGGGAGGCTCACCGTGTGTCTCCTCAGGAGGTCTTCGGGGTCACCCTTTTCCTCCAGGCCCTCCTGAGCCGTCCGCAGCACCTTCTCCAACTCAGCTCGAGACTCCTCAAATTTCTTCATCAAGCGGCTGTTGGTTTCCACATGTTTTTTCCAATCTCCAGTTTTCTTCACCATATTCTTATAAAAATAATCATCATGTAATGCTGATTTCTCGTTATTGAAAGTATCACTTGGCTAGAGTATTAGTGCTCTAAATGCATACTTGGAAGGAAGATATTTTGTTATGAGAAAGTACTAACCCTTCTAGCATTAACTGATACTAGAAAAGATACCCAGGACTGGTTTCCATTGTGCTGGGTGAGGCACACTGTCCTCCTCCTCGGTGAAGATGTTTCTCCTCCTGTGTTTCCCTCGCTGGCCTCTCCCAGAGGGTGGGACTTACCTGAAAGGCCAGGTGGGCCTCTGCAATTTGCCTCTGAAGCTTCATCTGATCGAAATGCTTTAGCACGTTGCTCAAAGTCACAAACTTTTGAACACTTTGGCTGCCTTTCTCAATCAGGGTCATGATTTTCTTGCAGCTTTCTTGACAAGCTAATAGTTCCTACAAGGAAAAGAAAAGCATAGAAATATTACATAAAAGGGTGAGAGAAAGAGGGCAGCTATTACAAACAATGGGAACGGCATTTACAGAGCTCTTGGGCTTTTAATTAACAATAAGTAAAATCCAAAGTACAGAACAGTAGCTCTTTTCAGAAGAGCTCAATTTTAAGCAATCACTGAAGTCAGTGTTTTTTTATAACAGGCATTTAAATAACACATTGAGGGTTTTGTGTTTTTCTTTGTTTTTTTTTCTTTCTTTTTTTTTTTTTTGGTATTTAACATCCATCTTATTAGTATCAAGAGATTGATAGATGAACTAAATAGTAATTTGCTTACTGCCTACATTCCCCCAACCAAGGGACCTAAGGTTATTGAAAGAACAATCTATAGGCTTAACCTGGCTAACTGTACTGAACATCCAATGTTCTTTATTCACTGAAAGAGTCAGATGCAGATTATGTATCATGTATCCTAAAATGTACCCTATGACTTCTAAGGTTCATAAATTATCAATTCATTAATGAAACAGTGTACCCCAGATTCTAACCACAAAATGAGACAAAGGAAAACTATTATCACAGCAAACACATTTCTAGCACTCATGCCTGTATAATTAGACCTAGCCCTAGAGACAAAGATCCCATTTGAAGACACATATAAAGGCATTGGACATCTCATATAAAGCTGTCTGCCTCTCTAATTAAATGGATATATAAAATATCTAGAGATAGGCCCTCCCTGGGGCACAGCAGGTTAAAGCACAGCACTAAGAAGTTAAAGCCACTTCAGCATGAGCTCAATCCCCACCTGCCCCAGAGGTGACCACATGGCACGGGAGCCGGCTGCTCCCCTCAGCAGTGTACTTCATCTATCTGCCTGTTCTGCTCCCCACTCTGTCTCTGGTGAATCCTCTTACCATCCCTGTGCCTCTGGCCTGTACCCCAGTTCTGTATGCATAAATAAATAAATCTTTTTTTAAAATATCTTGATATATACGTAAATATTTGCGTGTATTTATTTAGCTTTGTCTATAGTGGACAGAGTTTTCATCTTTGAACAAGACCTGTATTTTTGTTTTGAGTTGCATGAACTATTTCAGAAAAATATTTATCCTAACTGAATTCCAATCACTTATAAACACTGCCTCGATCTTATTACAAACACTTTCAAATAGCTGTTTCTTAAAAGGGAATTTTCTTACCTGATGTTTTTGTTTAAAAAGGGCACTTGATTGTGCTTCACGCTCAAGAACTGTTATCATTTCATTGATTTTGCCCAGAGAATCATAAAAGAATGTCATCTGCTTTTCTAGCTCCTCCAACGGTGTGACCAGCTGCTGAGACTCACGAAGGAGGGAGGAGCAACATCCTTTGACCTGAAAAGCACAAAAACAACTCCATTTAACACAAGGGCAAATCTGGAGCTTACAGATTTGCAGCAACATTTGTTTGATATTTCCTAAGTATTGCTAAACAATATCATGATGCCACTGAGAAAATAAACGCCTATGATTTTCTCATAGAAACCCTTCTAAGTGGTCCATTTCCTTGCACTTTCCCATCCAAAGGGTACAGTTACTGGGTCAGATGGCATCCAATGTCACCTCATCCACCAGACAAGCCATTCTCACTTTGGCCTCAGAATCGGAGCAAAGACATTCATGAATTACATCATCTAGACCAACCTGTGTCTTCCAATTTTATTTTCAAGAATTCTACCTGAACCTTTACCTCTAGACGCTTAGCTTACAAACTTTTGACTTATTCTCCCCAGAAAGGTCTGTGCAGTCCTGCTTCCCCCAGCTCCACGCTTTGCTGAGCCCCACCTGGGGACATCTGCTCTGCTTATCCCGAATGTTCATGTCACAAACCAGTGTACTCAAGATGTTCCCATGTCAGGGGATGTCTCCTGCTGTGCATAGCGCAGTCTTGTCTGAGACTGGACTTTTAAAAAAATACGGTTCCTCTACACAACTATTAACCTTGTCTTCATGAGTGGCCATAGATCCTGGAGCTCAAGAGTTTACCAGAAAGAGCCTCATCACATTTATGGAATCAAGGACCATATGATTCTCAAAGAACTTCCTGCTCCTCTTCATTTTACTTACAGCTGCTCCCAAATTATTACCAATACTTTTGGAAGCCAAGGAGAGGAAACAAAATGATTGTTAATAGACCACTCTTGTTTGTTTCTCTAAGTCATACAGATTATCATGTGCTTAGTAAATTGCCTCAAGACAAACCTGGCAAAAGAATGCTATTGTCACACCACAATAGGGTTCTTTTAGAGTTTCTCAGACCAAAGCAAAGAGAATCCACTAACATACAAAAATCACTTGCCTGGATACAAGAGAAAATTTACCAAGATGATATACATCTGAGGCAGCTGTTAAACAGAAAGCATAATGACTTCGACGTTTATAAAGGTATATTTCGCTTCCTCTGAGGCTTCTCCAAGTCACAAAGTCTGACAGCGTGGGCTAAGTTGGGTGAGCCTTGTAGGGCTCCGCAAGCAGCTTCAAGGTTATGAAATGGATAATGTTGACTTTGCATTGTAACTAAGATTTATAAAAATTTTACCTTGACTCTTAAAATAACAGTAAACTATTAAGGTTTATAAAAATTATACCTTGACTACCAAAACAGGAATAATTAAAAGCTGACATTCTACTATATAATGGTTTAATAAACAAAGTCTTCTCTTTCTTTTAATATATGTGGCTCTGCAGTTTCTACCTACATCATTATTCCTTTTTATCATTAATTCTCCCCTGCAGATTTCATTTTGACTTTTCATCTCTGTTTTATTTTCCTTATTTTTCAATTCTTTACTACAAAATCTTTTCAACTCATATAATTACTATACTTTCATTAGAAATGAATTACCTAACATAAGAGTAAACAATACCCAATAATACCATCTTTATAAAATTCAACTTTAGATAGACTTTTAAAAATCTCAATAGAATTTCCAAAGCTTTCAAAGAAAATCCCTCAATAGAATAATAAAGGCTTACTGCCAGTACTTGATATTCATAGAAGTAGCATAAATCTTAAGCCTAAGGCAAAGAACTTCCACTGCTTCGTAACACACTGCAAACAGAAAATGGCATAAATAATCTTAGATTGGCGATATGTCAACTAAATCTCATTAAAAAGCTAGCTGGGATTCTCATTGAAGTCTATGCTGTTCTGCTCAAACCACTTCATCTTCTTCCCTCTCCATTTGTTTTATGACATTTAACAGGCCCCAGTGATACCCCCTCAAAAGACTGCCTTTCTTAAAAGATAAAAATAGTATTCATATTTGTTTCAATGAAAAACATGAATTCTTATTTTCATTTTGAAAGGATATTTTGATGGCAATTTATAGACACTTGAGAGAGTAAGAAATGGCACTTTGTCCAAAAATATAAAGCAATCTTTTTCAAATATGAGGAGAAGTCGTTTGAATAGGGTTTGGTAGTATCATCAATCACTGTGACTTTGCTACTAGTACGCTGGCCGTGGTGGGATGCCTCTGTGTGTTGGTCGTATGACAGAAAATCTACTATAATGTACACAGCAAGCTCACAAGTTAGGTATCATCTTCTCCACCTGAAGAGGATGAAATCAAAGCTAACCAGGACTCTGTCATTAGCTATATCTGACCTAAGATCTAAAAGCTGACTCAATTTAGACACTTGCTCTGTCTATGAAGTGACATCACTTTGTTATCAACAATAGCTACTAGTACTTCCTAAATTAACAGAGGGAATACTTGGTATAGTTCCAGAACTGATCAATCACACACAAACCTATACACACATATGACGTATCAGAAACTACTCCAAATATACGTATAAGTATCATAAAATACATATGTTGGGTAAGTTCAATTTTAAAGCTCATGATGAAGTTTAAACGACAAAATCATTACATCAAAAAATCCCAGTAAGAAGTCAAAGCTTGATCTGTTAGCAAGTGAGATGCCTAGTGAGGCAAGCGGAAGCCAGTCTTGGTCTAACATGGTACGCCTTCTGTCAAAGTACTTCCTCACCTTGGCAAGTTGCTCCTTGAGCCTGGACATGGTTGCAAACATTTCATTAGCCTCTTCCTGGGAGCTTTCTTTGGCAATGAGGTGTGCCGTCTTTGTGATCATCTTGTACTGGGCATCCATCACAGGCACTCTCTGCTCCACATCCTGCATGAACCACAGAACAGCTCCATGAACACAGGGCACATCTCCTTTTAATGTCAGGATTCTGCAGAAGGCTGGACAGAACTCATTATGCACTGCATAGAAAGTTCTATGTTTATGCTAAATGTTTGAAGATTCAAGTTTTTGCATTCCTTAATTACTAATATAACGTAATAACACACTAAGGTATCCCTGTCTCAAAAACTCATAGCTTTTATGAAAGATCTATGTTAGTATCTGTTTACCCTAACTGGAAGAAATTCAAATGTTATTTGCTTCTATGCCAAGGTGAAGAGTGCAAATAGCACATACAGTGTTGTTTTTTTTTAAGAGCTGTTCTAGAGAATCGGCATCTGAGTGTTTATCATCTCAGTCCCACTTTTGCTGTATGTTGTGCTCCTGGACATTGCATGAGTTATTGGGGATGTCTTGGTAGGTTACTTTTTGTATCTGGGACTACCCCAAAATGTTCACATAGCAATGTATGGTCATTTCTTTTTCAGTTTATACCATTTTAGCTCAAGAAAGTTTTCATAGGAACATTCTACTTTTGAATAGTGGGGGAAGCCTGTATACTTTCTACTGGAAATTCATGTCAATAAAAGCAATCCTTTAAAAGTTACCAAACTCTTTTAGTTAACATAAAGATAAGCTGAAGGAATCTTCAGATTTTGAAAAAGTAAGTACTACTATAATACATAAATATTGTTTCAGGTAAATGCATGTTAACAAGTTGAAATACCTACTTTGACTTTAAAAATGATAGAGCTTATTTTTTCTTTAAAAAGTAATAGATTGCCATTATGGAAAAAATAAAATTAGATACTTAGGATAAACTTTAGGATAAAAAAATATAAAATTACTTCCACTGTTCTCAACAGTACTAAATAGAGCTAGCATCTCTCTATTGTATTATTAATGCGTTTTACAATATGTATTTATACAATTTTTACCTTTAAAAAAATTCTTCTTTTGCTTTTTTTTCTCTTAATGACATATTGCAAAAACTTCTAAGTTATCAAATATTCCCCAGCTATTCCACTTATGAGAGCCACAGAGTATTCAAAATAAATAAATACACAATCATTTGGTAAGGGTGGGAGACTTTTAAGTTGCGGTGTTACATACACACATCTCCTATTTTCTCCTGTTTTATATGTTGATTATACAAAGAGTCTCCAAATTTAAAAAGCTATTCTGAAGTAAATTCAAATGTGTATTTTATGAGAAGCAGAGATCAAGATATTCACAAATCAAAATGATGTCATGGAGACATTAAAATAGCTTTTACGGGCCCTCCCTGGTGGTGCAGCGGGTTAAAGCATAGAACTAAGAAGCTAACGTCACTTCAGCATGAGTTCAATCCCAGCCTGGAGGTGACCCACATGGCACGGCAGACCTCTCCTGACCCACCCACTGCTCCCCTCAGCAGTGGACTTCATCACTCTGCCTGTTCTGCTTCCCACTCTGTCTCTGGTGAATCCTCTCACTGTCCCTGCACCTCTGGCCTATAACCCAGCTCTGTATTAATAAATAAATAAATCTTTTAAAAAACATAGCTTTTACAAAAATCTGAGTCATTTTGCAAATCTTCACTTTCTTAAAAAATAAGTTTTCACCTTGTAGCCCAGAAACCCCCTCACCTCCAACTCTTGAATTAGTAATTTTACATTAATAAAAGAGACTTCTAAGGGCTCAGAAAATTTCCTTTGGGCTTCAGTTGCAAAATCAGACAAGGTACTAATGCAATCTGTGTATTCTTTCTTCATTCTGTCCATCTCATCAGCTCGAGCATACTGTTAAGAAAAGGAAAACAAGAGGAAAAAAATGAAAAGCAAAGGAAAACAACATTGAAAACCAGTCAGCTCAGATGCAGGAAGCCTGAAACCTTCACCTATCTACTTTAGAATTCTTAAATGATAATCAAGGGTCCTCCCTAGTGGCGCAACAGGTTAAAGTACAGCACTATGAAGCCATCTGCAACCACCGCAGCATGAGTTTGACCCCCGGCCAGCAAGCTGACCCACATGGCATAGACCTCTCCTGTCACCCCACTGCTCCCCTCAGCAGTGTATTTCAGTGGATCTGCCTGTTCTGCTCCCCTCTCTGTCTCTGGTGAATCCTCTTAACTCCCCACCTCCGGCCTATACTATAGTTCTTGTACACATAAATAAATAAAGCTTAAAAAAAAAAGTA